TATACAATATTACTCTTCCTCTTAACTCGGTCTATATGCAATATTACTCTTCCTCTTAATCCAATTCACTTTAGAATCTAGCTCGCCCCGAATCTAGTTTCACCTAATATTTTGGTCCCATCTGTTTGAATTCCATGCGACATGTTGCATGAAGAAGATATTTGAAGGACTACTGGTTAGCAAATTTAAGAAAATTCATTACCCAATTGGGAGGAAAGGAATGGGACATTTGGAAAAACAGACCATAGTGTCTGAATTAACAAAGTCATACCACTAGACATTGACAAGCACTTAATTAAACAACTATTGGTTCATAGATGTCAAAATTTAACATGCTTCAAACTCAATCCATTCCATGTCCATTTCTTTAGTTATTGGGAAATGCCAGCTTTAGCCTTGGGGTGAAGACTTTGATCCATAACAGCCTCAGTTACTATGAAATGATAGCAATTGTAAAATTTAGCCCTAAGTGGTCCAAGACCATGCATTTCTGCTTCAAGTTTATATTATTAAAAAGTTTGAATGGTGTACAAACTTATTGACACCTTTTGATTTTTTGCACAAAGTAATAATCTCATATTTGAACAAAATATATACTATATACACACACACACACACACACATGGGCAAAGTGAGAAAAAATACATCTAAATTTATATTTTGGACAAATAACCCCTCTATTATTTATTTTAGGTATATAAGTTCGTTAAATTTGAAAAAATGTAACAAAAAAGGACTTTAAGTCACTGTTTTGTTAAAATATAAAAATTTTAAGATATAAAATTTCGAAAATAACCTTTTCTCTTTTGACATTGTCCTAATTTTTTAACATATATTTTTTATTCAGTTATAGAGAATACTTTAATCTTTTTAAGTATTCATATCCTTGTTTATATCAAAATTGAATGTTAAGGACTTTTTAAAACGTATAAGGAATTGTATGCTCTATATGCATATCATAAATGTATTTTTCGCTAGTGATCCTGTATATATTTATATTTTTCCTTGGTCATATTTGAACAAAATATATATATATATATCCGAATGCCAATAGTGTCTTTAAATGCCAATATTTCTTGCTAGCAATCTAAGCTCTTTCTCTCAATAATTGCACTCATGTAAAAAAACCTTAAGAAAACTGTACGCACGCCGATTTTGACTTGAGCCGATAGATACTTGTGAGGGCCACCAATCATAGTGGGTCCTACAAGATTCGTGTCAGTATCAATTCACGCCGAAATATAACATATAGTCCAAAAATTTATTCAGGTTAGGAGCACTTTGAAGCTAAACATTTGAAACCTCTTTGGTCCCAATAATCTTAAAGCCAAGATTATATTTTCTCTCAATATATTTAGATGCTCTATTGTTAGGGATAATTTCTAGTGATAAGCAAGAATAGATTCTATTAAATTTTTTAAATTTTCATATGTGTGTGTGTGTGTGTGTGTCTATATATAGATAACTCAAATTGGACATATCCACGCACACATATATTTATGTGGGACACTTTTATTCCAATATAAGAAGACAAACGAAAATATTCCCAGGATATATTTCAGATGATGTGATAAACAGGTATTTAACGTGGAATGGTAAGGAGCAACCATTACCTATCTCTAATCCTTTTATGCCTTTACTGTGACCGTTGAAAATACAACTTAATTAATAAATTAAAAAAAAAACTTCAAATTATTAACTATGGGAGAAAAAAAATTATTTTCATGCATTTGAACTATTTTTTTTTTTCATATTTTAATTCAATATAATCGAATGTAAAGTATATATATTTTACCACAAATACATATAGCTAAATAATAGAAATTAAAAAAATATCACTGTTGATTTTTTATTTTTTTTAATAGAAAAATACATGGGCTTGAACTTGGGGTTTAATTGTGTAAAGAGTCCAGGGTGGTTCGGAGTACACATTGGGTTAATGGGAGATTGGGCTTTAGCGCCTTGAAATAAATGGAGCATAAGAGAAAATGTTATGGACCTCTGGATCGGTGAGTTGTGAAACATCTTGTGAGTTATGAGCTCGGCCCAAACACACAATTTTTTTACTCCATATCCCAAAAACACAAAATTGTGAGTTACGTAGTTTCTCAAAAGGGACATTTTATTTGAGACAAAGGGAGTAATTAACATAGTCTAAAAATTGAAAATTTCATCAAAACTTGTCTTTATTTGTAGTCTTACTTACTTATAAGCTCGGGATAAATAATATAAATAGTAATGATTGGGAGTCTGACGGTCAAACACATCCCATTCATTTTATTTGAGTAAGTGCTAACGTCATCATGACATCAGAGTTACTAATGACATCATAATGATATCAGTTATACTTACATAAATCAGTTGAACTTGTCCAACATTCGAACTCCAAATCATTATTATCGTATAAAATCAATATATTATCAACTTTGCGGACTCTCCTTACTAATTAATTTCAGAACGTGTTTACGGAAGACATGCAAATGCCAACAACCTCTCTCTCTCTTGACCAGGGGCGGAGGGAGAGGGGGACCAAGGGTGGCCATGGCCCTCCCAAAATTTTGGCAAATTTTTAGTACTAGTTACTAAACGTATTTATATTAATAATTATTTTTTTTATATAAAAATTAAATTGGCCCCCTCAAATTTTTTGTAAAATATATTTATGGTACTAAATTATTGTTATTAATAGTAATTTTTCTAAAAACTAAAGTTGGTTCTTCAAAAATTTTGTAAAACCTTATTTATGGTACTAAATTATAGTTACTAATGGTGATTTTTATATAAAAATTAAAGCTTGTCTCTCTCAAATTCTAAAAAAAAAAAAAAATTATTTATGGTTTACTTTATGATTATTGAATGTAGTTTGCAAATGAAATTACTTATAACTCTTCAAATTCGAATAAAAATTCTTATGATTATTGAATGTGGTTTGTGAATGAACGTATTCTTTTATTTATTTATTCATGTAGATATGGTTTGTGAATGAAATTACTTATAACTCTTCAAATTTGAATAAACTTATAAATTCCAAATATAGTAAATAATACAAATAATAACCATTATTATGATAATTCTTATTGTAACATACTTTATTTATACATACAGTCACACACACATATATATTATTTGTTATGAATTAGAGAGAAGAAAAAAAATACTCAACTATTCTTAATTTGTTCTATTTTTCTTTTCATATCATTTATAAACAGATGCTCTAAACTAAAAAAATTACGAAGTATTTTAATTTTTTATTTTTTAAATTTAATTTCATATTAATTGATTTCGCCCCCCCCCCCCCTCCCCCCCAAATAATTTTTCTTGGCTCCGCCCCTGCTCTTGACCAGTTGGAACACCACACATCTTCAATCTTTAAAATGAGAAAAGAGAAAAAAAGAACCTTGTAAGAAGCAATCTCAAGGTATAAGCTCGGATCAATCATACAAATAGTAATGATAGGGAGTCTAACAATCGGATACATTCGACTAATTTTATGTGAGTAAGTGCTGACATTATGATAATGTCAGTCACACTTACATAAATCTTTGTCCGACTTTCGGACTCAATTTAATATCTTCATATAAAGTCAACTTATTATCAACTTTGCGGACTCTGCGTACTAATTAATTTCATAAGGTGTTTACAAAAGACTTACATGGGCAAACGCCAACAGCCTCTTTCAAGACATTTGGAACGCCACATATCTTCAATCATTAAAATGTGGGAAAAGAGAAAAAGAGTACCTTGTAAGAAGCTATTTCAAAGAACAACCAAATTTTAAATCTTAACGTATAATTGTAGCTATCATTTGCAGAAGATAGTCCTTTGGAGGTTTTATAATTGATCAACTTCTTAAATCTCTTAACTTTTCTCTTAATCCACAAAATGGTTGTGTCCACCTTCTACTTTACATTAAAGACATGGACGCGTGAACATAAAGAAGAAAAAAGACATGACAGCAAGTACAAGTAAAGAATATCTATTTGAATTAAAGAGATAATTGTATTGAGAAAGACATCTCCACTTTTGGTTTTTCATTTTATTTTATTTTAAAAATCAAATTAATTATTTAAATATATTAATAGATATTAGTAATGCAGTAAATCTAGTTGGGACAAGAATTCTCTCCGACACAGGAAAGGTCGGACACATAATTTCGTGATTGAGATTGAATTGATAAACGGAACTCAATAATGATGATGTAATCTCAACCACTCAATTATGCGCTGAACCACTCCAGCACGGGAGAGAATTCTTATCCAATCATCCGATCCAGTTGTATGATTTTTTGGTGTAACAGATCACTGCGTGTGTGTGTGTGAATATACATAATATTGGTGATGCAAATGTGGTATGCTAAAAACAAAACTAGTGAAGTGAAATGGATTAGAATTTAGATTGGGTAAAATAATTGAGTACATGGATGGACAAATGAAAGCAACTTTCATATCCCATTTTAAACGGTTGCCCCTAAATAAATGCACAATCTACGCGCTTGTACATGGCCCACCAGTTCTTGAATGGTCGTGGGCTTGGGAAGCAACTTGAATATCCAAAAATTTCAAGATAAGCTCAAATTTAGAATAGAAAGATCTGAAACAAAGGAAAAGTTTAGTTGATTTTTCTAAAAATAATTTTTAAAAACTCACAAAATAGAAAACCATTTTTAAAGAATTATAAATTATAATTTTTTAAAATAAATTTTTTTGACTTAATTTTTTTAAAAATTATTTTTCAAAAATTGTCAATCAAATTTTTTTTTTTTTTAGGCTAGTGGAAATCACCCTATTTGTTAGATAGTGTATTAATTGTGTGTCTATGTTTGTTTTTTTTAATAATTAGAATAAAATCATTTTTGATACATATATTTTTTATTGTTTAATTATATTAAATTTATTACCTTAATTACATTAATTAATTTAATTTTTTATAGGAAAAAAATTACTCCGTGTAAAAGTAATATATTCTGCGTTGTTTTTGTGTCGGCCTCTCTTCTGTTTGACTGAACCCCATAGTGCCGCGATTCCATTCCCCAATGTGGAATTTGGTGAAACCTCTCCACTGTCGCCTCTTCTTTTGTTTTTTTTGTCCTTTGTGTATAATAGAAGCGCCTCTCTCTCTCTCTCTCTCTCTCTGCACCACTGTATGTAGTAGTAAGTAGTAGACGAACTTTGTGAACTCTCTTCGTCTCTCTCAAATTCTTCAGATTCTTTCAGGTTAGTAGTTCATCTTCTTCTTCCTTCACTCCTACTTTTCTTCCATTTCCTTTCTCACTCTATAAATCTCAAATTAGTAATGACAACTACACGCTAATCTCTCTCTAGATACGAACATTTTTCATGTTCAAATATACACATAATCATGAGATTTCCTTCCTCCAAATTGTTTGCTATTCGTTTGTTTTTTAAATTTTGTTTTTCTCATTTTTCAGAATTAATTTGCTCTGTTTGGTAGCAGAGAAATTGGAGGAAAACAAAAGATAGGCAAATTTAGAGACCTGTGTTTTTTTTTTTGGTTTTCCAAAGACGGAAAACTCATTTGAACTATAAGCAGTGTTTGTTTTCTTTTTACTAAGAAAATTCAGGAAAAGTAGGTGAGTGGAGTTTCCCGGTTCTTCAATAAATTACGGAAAATGGATTGATGAAATTTGTTTAGGTATATTTTTCTTAGCGATCAAGCGGATTCTTATAGAAAGTATGTGAAACCCTAGTTTAGGCTTTTCAGAAATTTGAATCGTTGGCCAAATGGTTGAAATGAGGAATTTATTATTATTATTTTTTGTCATTTATTTGTCTCGTTCATGTTTATTGTTATTGAACTCAACAATGTATGGATAAAGCAACTTCTTCGTGGAGCATTTGACTTTGTACAGTAGTGATCTTGTCCACATTCTTTGTCCTTATGCTTGCAGTCTTAGCTATTTTTTTTACATATTGGGCACATTTGAGGCACTTATGCTTTTAGCATATTGTTAAGCAAAGCTTGTATATAATATACTAATCATTCGACTGTTACACTGTCGGGTGCAGCCGATTTCATTGGCATAAAATGTCTACACTTTTTTTTTTTTTTTTTTTGTTTTTTGTTAATGCTAATTAGTTTTCTTGTGTAGTCACTATTAGAAGCTTTAGAATCTCTGTCAAGACAAAGTTGTTGACATACATCTCGCATTTCAATGTATTTAGGTGGTGCTGATTCTAATTGTGTTGCAGAATTGAAGCCATCGTGGCGTCTTATATGTGATACAGATAGGTTTTAGAATTTATTTAGAGTAGGTATGGGCTTCAGCCTAAGAGTAAAACGGTGTCAGGTTAAAAACTCCAATCGAGGAACTTATGTATATATAGTTCTCAAAATACTCAAAAGCATATTGTGAATTTCATTAATGTAAATAAGACTTGAGATAATTCCTGTTATTAGTAAACAAAGCTCTAACACTTGGGAATAAGTAACATATGATGCTATGGTAGTACCCCAAATCCAATGTAGATTCTTCGACAACTATTTGTTGTTTTAGCTAACCAACCATTTCTCTTGGCTTACCATCCTCAAATTCATATAGCATTTATAGCTTGATTCAGTTGTATAATCGTGGCTACTTCTTGTAGTTCTCAGGCTATAGTTTGCTGGAGTAGATGACTTTGTAATTGGAGATGTATTTAGTTTGATTATCTCCTTTTGTTTTAAGTTTTTTGCCCTAGGATAGGTTAGAGAGCATCCAGGGAAGTTTGTATGGATCTTTTGCGACACTTGTAAAGTGAGATGCATCCTACCTACGTAGACACATTTTAAAACCGTGAGCGCCAAGAGAGTGTAAAGCGGACAATATCTGTACAGTGTGAGGCTTCTTCTAACGGTTTAAATACTTTCAATGCAAATGCTAGATTCCTATCCATTTATATATGACTTTTAATTAATGTTTTCCTTATTTTCAAAAGTTGATGCCATATTACCATTGATTAACATGGATTGGCAGTGCTTCAGGCCTTATAATCCCACCCTTGTTGTATCCAAGTGGAACCTCTAAGGTTCATGTCTTCACTGTGTTGTTTCTTAAAAATTTAGAACGACATCTCAAGTTCTTGACAATTCCAACAACCCCAACAAAAAAAAAAAAACGAAAAAAAAAAAAGAAAAAAAACAACAAGAAGAAGAAAAGGAGAATTGTCTTCTTCCCTAATTGTACAGTGCTTCTGTATTCATGTCCTTTAGCAAGTTAATTGTATTTGCATAGTTCTCTTTAAAAGTAGATGCATAAATATGACTGTTAATTGTAGCAATACATGTTCATAAGTTTTTTTCTGTGAAGAATATATATATATATATTTTTTATAATAATTTTTTAGTTGTAAGCTTGTAGCCTTACTGTCTTTGGTATTTACTGCTATGGCAAAAGTTGGGTGGAAGTTGTCTTATGTGATGCCTCCCTCTCTCAACTGACTATGCTGTGCTAACTTTTCAACATGATTTCTATCAACTAACTTTTTGTTTTTTCTTTAGTTGGTGAAAATGCCAGAGATTCAATTGGGTGCTCACACTCTCAGATCTCATGGAGCTAAAGTAGCAAGGATACATATGCATGACTGGCTGATTGTTATTCTTCTTGCAGTGATAGAGGTCATTTTGTATGTTGTTATAGAACCATTTCACCGTTTTGTTGGAGAGGAAATGATGACTGACCTAAAGTACCCATTGCAGGGGAATACTGTTCCCTTTTGGGCTGTTCCGGTATGTTTTATTTTAAAGAAATATTCAGCAGGAAAACTTTAATCCACTAGATAATGACAACAAACTTGAAATAATTCATTACTTTTCTTCATTCTGAGATGTGACAGGTAATTGCAATACTATTACCTCTTGCGGTGATTGTTGTCTATTACTTCATTAGAAAGGATGTCTATGATTTGCATCATGCTATATTAGGTAGTCTTCTTCCCTTTTATAATTTCTTATGCAGGTGTTAGTTATTTGTATTATCAATGACTTTAATTTGGTTTTGTATGCATGTTCAGGCCTTCTGTTTTCAGTACTTACAACTGCAGTTATAACTGATGCAATTAAAGATGCTGTTGGTCGACCTCGTCCAGACTTCTTTTGGCGTTGTTTCCCTGATGGCAAAGGGGTGATCCTCATCAACTGCTTTAATATTCTTTGTCACAGTCTTTTAACTTCAATTGCATGAAGTTATCTTTTTTACTCTGAATAAAGTGTATTTTTGGTGCAATGGCATGTTCAGGTGTTTGATCCTGTCACGAAGAATGTTATGTGTACTGGATTGAAAAGCGTCATCAGGGAAGGACATAAAAGTTTTCCGAGTGGGCATACTTCTTGTAAGAAGCACATTCGTTTTGAGTTCAAATACTTGCTGTGTGTATAATATATGGCTTGTTGCTGATTCTTCAATTATGTTCTTTTCAAGCATACTTTTTGTTTTGCAACTATGGAGATGCTAAATCTTGTATATGCTAAATCTTTACCTCAAAAAATATATAGTTATCCTAGAAGTCATTGACATTTTCCTGTGAAAGTGCTGTGTGGATGTAGGTTATATATATGTATAACAGAGGCATTACTCACAAATTAGTAGCGATCCCAGGTGGACTGAGTGTGGTGGAAGTCTAGGCAAACTTGAGAGAGAGGCAGTGTGCAAGTTCACTATTGACTTCCTTGGTGAAGGTTTAGAGGATGAGAATAGAGAGAGAGAGAGAGAGAGAGAGCATGGGTGAGAGATAGAGAAGAGCTTATAATATGGATGGTGGTTCCCCTTCTTATTTCTCTTCCTCTCTTTTTGGTCTTGTGGAAGGCTCTTTATAGGAAAAAATGTAAGGATAGCTGATGTCACACTGAGGCAACATATGAGTTTTTCTTATAGTGACAAAAAAGAAAAATTTATAAAGTAGAGAGAGACAAGGATATGGTGTGTAATTGTTAGTGTAATAAGGATAATTATTTAACGAGATAAACAAATCCAATATGGCCGGGTAGGGTGGAGATAGGATGCATGGAAGTCAAAAGGTCTTTTTTTTTTTTTTTTCCTAGTTGGCAACTCACACACACATGACTCCACTGAGGCTCCAACCCCTGACCTCTTTTTGAGAAGTAGGAGCTTGGTACCGCAAGGCCACTGGCCTGTTGGTAAGTCAAAAGGTCATACTCCCTTCACAAGTTATGTCAAGGGTTAGTTGAACCACTATGATGGCCCTGGACTTCAGCTACCAAACCAATTGCCTCCTTTGATCACAAATGTTCCCGAGTCCTACTCCCAACTCAGGTCTCCAAGTCTTTAGTCTTCTATTTGAGGTTTATTGATGATATAGCAAGTGTTACATAACTTGCTCTTGACTGCTTGACTTTTTGCTATGTGGGCCACTATTGATGATGTGGCGAGTTCCATGTGGATAAAAAAAAATATCCGATACCAACAATAGGATAGTGGTAGCTTAAGTTTCTGTGTACATAAAATAGAGTTGGCCAACCAGCATTAATGCGTTCCGGAAGCACATAATATTTGCATTATGAATGATATGTTGTATATCAATTTTAAGATAGCTTCCAAATGACAATACCCCCTATCATCATTTCTTCCTCTCCCACAAACTTCTAGTGGTTTTTAAAATTACTAGTTGCATATTTTAACATATCAAGAATCTTATAAATGCCCTCATTTTTATTTTCTTCTGGTGATACCCCTATTATAGATTACCAATTTGTGTTGTCCAATGCTAGTTTGAAATGGTGTCATTTCATTGTTCAGTCAGTTATCAATGTATATTATTATTGCATTTGTAGTAGTTGTTTTAATTTCTCGTATATAAACCACAATATTATAAGAATTTGGTTTGGTACTATGTAGGGTCCTTCGCTGGTCTTGGTTTTCTTGCATGGTACCTGTCAGGGAAAGTCAGGATGTTTGATCACAATGGCCACGTTGGAAAGCTTTGTATTGTTTTTCTACCCCTGCTAGTTTCAGCTCTGGTGGGAGTTTCTCGAGTCGATGACTACTGGCATCATTGGCAAGATGTATTTGCTGGAGGTCTTATAGGTCTGTGCATTGCAGATAGAATCTATCATTCCTAACTTAATTTTCTATTATTTACATTGCCTTTCTTTTTCTGAATTTTTTCTCCCTTTTTCTTTGTGCAGGGATTGCGATTGCTTCATTCTGTTACTTGCAATTCTTTCCACCCCCATATGACATAGATGGTATTTCTTATTGTTGTATACTCACTAGTTACTTGCTGCCTTGTGCACCATGGTGCCGTGGTGTTATTATTTAGAAACAGCAGCCTATTTGGTTTTACATAGAAATTCCTTGCTATAGGATAAAAGTGAGCAAAATGATGAAGATATAAGATACAACAAAAGCTGTTAATTCTCTTATATCCCACTGCACTATTTCTAATGTTTGTACTGTTAAATAAGTTAAATTATTGCATTTGATGTTTTAATCTATCTCAAACTTGTTCCACTAGTTAAATTAGAAACTTGCCACTTGAATAATTTATCAATTCTTTCATTAGAGCCATCTTAACTACATTTTTAAGGTGTAGAGTTTTGAGTAATTCTGATCAATAAATGAAAACTATAACAACTTGCTTGAGATTGGTCTCATACTTTACGCTTGTTTTAAAGTATCCCATTTATGTTTTTCCTATTCTTTCTTTTGTCACAGTAGCTGTTGTAAAATTGCTCGAGAGAACCCATGTTTATTGCCAACTTAGTGGTTTGGATTGGCAATGTTCTTCATGAGAAGTGCTATACTTGAGATATGTTGTATTTAGGGACTTAAAAATTGGTTGGCAAAACGATGCTTAACCAGTTCTTTCATTTGTTTATTTTCCTTTGTTCTCCTCGTTATTTTCTTTTTCTTTCTCTTTTCTTTTCTATCTGTTTGTCTATATAATGTTGGAATTAACTTACTCAAGAGATGGAAGTAAGTTTGAGCTTTTACAAGTAATCTGTGTTGCTTATGTTGGCCATTCTATCTCCAACCGAATGTAATTTTAGAGGGGAGAACCAAAAATTTCTTCGAATCTCTGAAGATTTTTAAATATATTTTTTAGCATCTCTTATCTCTCTTTAAGAGCAATTTTAGATCACAATCCTGTCTTTTATCACCTTTAAACACCTATACCGTTGCAAAGATACTCTTATTTCTTAATTGCTTGATTGTAGGGCAGAAAACATAGACAGTAATAGGTCATGTGTAGGTGATGCACATATCATGTTAAAAGTGAACCTAATTTAATACCCTAGAGTTCCATGAAAGTAAGTTTTCTCATTTTGAGACAGCTGCTCATGTGCTTCCTTCATTGTGCATTCCCGGTACATGCATGTACAGTTTGCCTCTTTTTTGCCAAAGCAAAGGAGAAAATCTCTCATATAATAGACTTTTATTTCATCCTGTTATTTCAAAAGCAGTGGATCGGAGTTGTAAAGTGCATCGGCACTTAATTACTGGTCACTAATTTCTTACATGTTTATCCTCGTCTTGCAGGTTGGGGACCCCATGCATACTTTCAGATGTTGGCAGAGTCCCGAAATGCTACCCAGCCTTCATCCACCCAGATAAATTGCCTTGGCATACAGCCATCGCAGCTTGAGAATGTATATATTGAATCTCATCATGGCACGCCAACATCACAAGTCAATACTCGGGACACAAGCCGAACCCTGGACGCCATGGAAAGCGGCAGGAGACATTGACTCAGGTTTTGACTGTAGAGAAGATATAGATACATTTCCACATGTGCATACCTAGTAAGATCAATAGAAGTGTGTTGCTTTTTCATCTGCAAATACTATAGGAACTTTCTGCATGGATCATGTCGATCGATTATACTTTTACCTCAGATTATATGCGCAATTAAAATCGACAATTTTTAGCTTGTATGTCTCATGTTCATCTGTTTATACTCCTGTTTCTTTTGTTTCTTCTGGTATTGCTGCCGGTATGAATAAAATTAGTTTGTGAATATCTATTGTTATTATGTTCTATAAAAACCATAATAAGAGCACGGGTTTGAATCTAAAGACAACATGGTGTGTATTGTTGTCTAAAAAGTGCCAAAAATTAGGTATGTACCTACCTGTTCCTCCTGATATTGTTGAAAATCAGGAACAGGTCTTGTACTGTTCTACCACGTGAGTTGATTGTGTTGAGAATAATGATTTTTAGACCTTATAGTCTAGCCGAGAATCCTAACCGAGGAATTTCTATCCCTTAATGGATTCTCGGTTAGATTGTTAAGTCTGAAAAGCGTTGTCAATGTGTTAAATGGTGCCTTTGTTTAATACTTCAGAATTATTGTTTCAGGCTGGAGTAATTTGATTTTATTCTCTGTTGGTTAGGTGGAACTCCATGTTGCATTGAAGGACACACAACTATAGCAGTGTCTTGGTCAATATTCTAAAATATATATATATATATATATATATATATATATATATATATATATATCTTGGTCAATATTCTAAAATATATATATATATATATATATATTATCTACAGTTTTCACCTGAGTCAACTAATCTGGAAGAATTATTCTTCTCCGTGATTTGATGATTATTGAAATGCTATTTTAATTTTCGATTACTTAAACAAAGGTTCAGTTTGTCATCATTTCCTTGGCTTTGTGATTAGACAAAGAAGAATGAAAGAAAAGCCTTTCATTGTCACGCAAAATCCTGGCTTTGTTTGGATCTATAGAATTGGAGTCTTGAAATTCGTAAAAATAGAGAAAAGTTTAGTTTGAAGTATTGATAAATTGAATTATTAATAATTTTTCTTTTAATTTTATCAATTTCAAGATTTTAATTTCATACAATCAAAAAACATAATTAATTATAACAAAAAAAATAAACAAAAAACGTACTTGTTAGCTCCAAATCAAGTACGGTCGATATTCCTCAAATTTAGTTGGACAAATCCATCGTTAATGACTAGTAAGTTCACGAGAAATCACCCCCCTCGACCCCATATGGGGAAAAAGTCAACATTTGGTAGCTTTGAACAATTCTAATTGCACAAAATTATTACTTTACTTTTTTATTCATAGCTTTAAGCTAACCTTTAAGAATAATAGTAATTATATACACACATGCACACACACACTATACGAATCGTCGGCAGGTTACGATTACAAGACATAACTTCCCAGAATGTAAGGGTCAACAGTACGTGTTCAAAGTTGAACAATTCTAATTGCACAAAATTATTACTTACTTTTATTCATAGCTTTAAGCTAAAATAATAGTAATTATATATATATATGTAAATATATATATACACACTATAGTAATCGTCGGCAGGGTTACGATTACAAGACATAACTTCCCATAATCTGAGGGTCAACAATAATGATTTTGACTTGGGGTTGGATATTTCTTGTTTGGCTGCTTGAATAAACAGGGGTTAAGTCGCTTTTATCTGCCACCCACATGTTTTTTTTATAAAAAATTTAGAAACATGAAAACTTTGAAGTCCACTCTAAATTCCTTTCTAGATGAAGTAAATATTAGGTAAAGGAATGTACTTTTCTTTATCTTAAAAAAATGGTTGCACATGAAAGTACACTGTCACTTTTTCATATGTCAATAAAGTACTAAAAATCTAGATTTGATTTGAATATTGTGAACTGCAAATCTAGATTTGATTTGAATATTGTTAAGTCACATAAAGCGAGAATAAGATTAAGAGTGGGTGCAAATCTAGATTTGTTAAGTCACATAAAGCGAGAATAAGATTAAGAGTGGGAGCAAATTTAAAAATAGGAGCATAAGAACGACAAAAGTAAGTCATAAATAATGAGAATTTAAGCTAGCACGCGTGCGGAGTATGAGAGTAGGAGCGCACTTGGAACGTGAGAGCGACACCCATTGAGAAGGATTGTATGAATTAGGGTGTATCTCCTATAACTATTTTGAAAAGTTTGTATTTCAATAATTTTTAACAATTAAATTTAAGGGGTTTTTTTTTTTTTTTTTAAAAAAAAAAAAAACTCCAAAAACAAAAAACACTTTTCAAAAAATTACAAAAGATAAGGGTTTGATTAGTTTGTAATTTTGAAACAGTTTTCTGTTTTTAAAAAATTAAAAATAAAAAAACTATACAAAAGATTTTGCTTAGTTTAATTTTTTGAAAATTACTTTTTGAAAATTTAGTTATAATAAACTGTTTTTTTTTTTTTATAATTTTCTGAAAACAATTTTTTGTTCTCTAAGTTCTTAAAAATTATTTTCAAAATTACAAACAAAACAACATTAATTATATAAAAACACTGTAACTCAAATATTTATTGAACAAAATTTTCAAAAAATAAAATAAAATAAAAATAATTGTCAAGTAAATTGACTTTGGAGTGGACTGCTATTCAAAGAAAACTGAAATCTAAAATAAACCAATTTTGTCAAAATAGGTAGCAAGTTGCATATGTCCCTCCAATTGTAGAATAATTTTGGAGATTGATATTTGCATTCTTTTAAAACCTCTCACTCTCTCTCCAGTTCCTCATCATTGTTTATGAAATGAAATGACAAGGACACCCTTAGCATTTTGGTTTCTCTATTTTTCTCTTTATATATACATCATGATTCGTCGTATCGTCCGATACGCGACTCTTTTCTAAATTCGATACGCGATTCGTATCAGTCAGTTTATATTAACTTTGTCCGAATCTATTATATTGCGACCGATACTACGAACCATGATATAGATATATTTATGTTTGTTTATACTTCATATACATACATATATCATATATTTCTTATACATATATAGTATATTTCTTAATTCTTTTTTTCTTTTATAATAACCAAAAGTGGTGTAGAGGATTGCTTTTTTTGAAGTTGATATATATCCGCACTCTTAATTTTTCTTGATAGGGATAAATCTTTGATTATGATGATCAATCATTTTCATCCATCACTTTCTAATAATTTTGTTAATTAAACCATACATACAAAGGATAAATCTTTGATTATGATAATCAATCATTTTCATCCATCACTTTCTAATAATTTTGTTAATTAAACCATAAATACAAAAAGGCATATTAATACATCAAAATAATAAAAAAAGTAAAAAAAAAAAAACCATAATCCACATCCCAGAACATTAATTTAACATTTATAGTAACTGCCTATATTGACTCGAATTTTCGACCTAGTATTTAATATTCCAAAGGTTGGTTCGATTCACAAGCTGCCAACAAGAAAAAGTCAACATGTGCATTCTCATTTAGTGCACAGTGGTCTTATAAACACTGCTCTCAAGTTCTCACCTCTATATAAAGACACTAATCATCCCATAACACACACACACCCACACACACCTAGCTAGTCTTCATCTCTGTGTTCAATCCTCTTTCTCTCTCTAGAATTAATTTTCTCTCTCCTCTTACAAATGGATATTCTTCCAGCAACCTATTTTGATAACTTGAAGAGATTCTGGAGGAGGAGAAGATACCAAAGATTGAATGACGCGAACAAGAAGAAGATGAAAATTCAAAGACTTGGCAATAAAAACCGGGCCGGTTGGAAGATTAAATCGATCCCAAAGCTCCGTTGCAGGATTGTTTCGCCAATTAAGCTTCTAACAAAGTTTCATGAAGCTTATGTTGACATGATGGTCCGTTTGGCTGGCGAGAAAAGAAAGAAAACTCTGAAAATCAGTCAACCAAATCCATTAATGGCCTCTGCTAGTGGTGATGAGATTATTGATACCACCTTAGTTATGGAGATTTATAAGCGTTTGGTGTCCACCCGTGAATTAGCTGCCTTATTAGTGTAATATAATTTGTTTTCTCATTAATATATATTTTTTCTTCTTTTGCAGTAGTTTTGTTCCTTGGTGCAACTGAAAGTTGTGACGTGTGAGAGTTTTATTTATTGTTGTTTTGACAATAATATGTTGAGAATTGTAAAGTTCAATATGTATTTTATGTATGTCACTTTTCAAATGTAAGTAATATGAGATTTTCTATTCCATGTTCATCAATATTTGAACTTTTTACTTGATAAGGTTCGAACTTCAAAATCACAGTCTCTATGATTAGTCATCAATTTGAAAAGATTTTATTGATTTTAGTTAAGTTGAGTCTATTCTATCTTAATTGAACTATTTATCTAACAAGTGACAAGATGATTCACACTTTTTTTTCCTCTCTCATAGTTGGTACTTAAATAAAAAGTTTGTGCCACATTTTGTGCCTTTTATCTAATTTTGGGTCTGAAATAGGTTCAATCTCGTATATGACATTAGTGGAGTTCTAAACCTATGACAAGCTTTTCTTTGTATACGCTCGAACGTCATAACTCATCCCAAATTAAAAATTAAGCTCACTTGAATTTTGGACTAAATATCTCATAAGTATTCAAACTGTATTGTATCATTTTGTTATAGAAAGGTGTTCGGTGTGCGGACTGATTACAAAATGGCATATGTGAACGCTTAAATTTGGATTCTTACACTTGACACCATGAACTTTCACTACAAGGTCACAACAACAGTTAGTGAACAGTGACTCTGAAAGTTCACACCATGAACTTTCACTACAAGTTCACAATATCCATGAGAACACTCAACCTAGCTAGGACCATATGCATTACAGAGTTAAATTCCTCACGAAGTATTATTGTCACGTCATCACACAAGTATATAGAGATAACAATTATATACGTTCATGCACAACACAAAATTTTACATGGTTTGATTGAAAATATATGGTTCACCCAAATTCGAACTATGTTCGAAAGATTTTACTATTATATATCAAGTAAGAAAATATATACTATCATAGATGTCAAAACCCACACTCTTTTAAGTCTTTTCTTTTTTCACTCCCTTGTTCGTTTTGGGCTACACATAACAATTATGAGCTCCTTACATCTTTTCTCTCTCCTTTCAACATTAACTTTTTAGCCCCTTACATCTTTTCTCTTTGGATAAATTACACTGACACCCTCTCAGGTTATG